AAAATAAATATAGTACAGCATACCAAAGGATTTAACAGTGGAATAAAAGATAAAAAAATTATTTGGACTTNAACTAGAGTTGTTTAAGAAATTTTTATGCTTTTGTCAGCCTTTATGCATGTTTAAATGTGTTTTTTGCGTATCTTATTGTGATGTAGACATATATACTTGTAACCAAATACATGTTGGCTTCCTAATCCCATGATTAATTGTACATTTGTAATGGTTTCCTTTTTATTTTTTTAATAAGATACGGGCTGCAGTATTATGGCACCAGAAACCAGAAAAATTGAAGATTATGTTAATAAGCTTATAATTTCGTGTATACGCTGCTATCCTACGGAATTTGCATTATGTATTTACAATGCCACGCCTTTAAGTTATGAGTTAAAAATGGATATTATTAAAGATATTGTTGGTGATATAGCAAATTTAAAGAAAGAGAAAGTGAAATTAGACAACTATCTTAATATGTATAACTGCTTTTTACAAGAGAGAACTCAAGAAATTATTAATAAAAGTGAGTAATCTTATTTATTTTATCAATATCACACTCTTTTCCTATTGAGTTTGAAGAGAGTCCACCATACTTACAGACTTGACCCAATGTTTCTTAACTTTGATAAGATTCGTCATGAAATTTATGATATATTTTTCTATATCTGTTTACGTTAATTCTTATGTTTACTTAATCAAAAATACTACATTTTGTCCAACCTTTACCTACACCTTTTTAATTTTGTTTCCCATTGTCTCTACTTCATCATCACTTCTAATCCTTGAGNAAAAATAAATTACTAAATTTAAAAAGAAGTATTATAAGTATGGAAAAAAAAAAATAAAAGAAATGACTTGAAATCAAAAGTCCGTGCATATTGTTATAAGTATTTTGTTCCACAATTTGATTTAATAAGATCAATAGATAATATTGAAAAAAGCGTGAGAGCAAGAGCCAGAGTACAATTGAATAGCATACAACTAGTTATAGTTCAATTAAACTATGTGAAGAGAAAAACTCGTGTTGTCGATTGCTTTGGTTGTGCGCTTAGCTTTACAGCTATAGTCGACATTTCCACTACTTTTCTCATAGTCACACGTTTTTGGATACAATTCTCGAGCTCTCGAAAAATATTCGCTTGCTTCGACGGCTGGCCACAGTGGGTTTCCCCGATCAGTGCTAAATAGTCGTCTCACATCATTGCATTGGCGTTAGCAATCTCTCTACTTATCTCTGCTCTAACCTTCTTAACTTTCCTATGCACGATTCACATAGCAGCTTACTTATCTTATTTTCTTCATTACTTTCATCCAAGTTTTTTACCTATTTGCTTCGTCACTATTAATTTGTTATGCAACCCGTTTTGTATGTGTTTGTGTTATTTTGGCTGTTAACCAAATTCTTATTTTCTGATGTCCAACATTTCAGCTAATTTACTGCCTTAAGAATTCCTTTCTCTAGCTAGCCTTCTTGACTTAACAGTGTTTATAGTTCTGGATCTCATCTATCATAGTTGTCATTGTAAGTCTCGTAGGTGTCATTTTCCTGCTTTGCATATACTGGTGAATGCAAAACTGCTGATATTTCTAGTCAAGCTTATTCATAACTGTACATTGTATTTTACCTTTTAAATTTCTTTTCATAAATACTGCTTAGGGGAAAGGGGGGCATGCCGTGGCATACAGAGATCTGTGGCACCTCAATCATATAAATAATGATTTTAAAATTCTAATTTGAATACAAACTAAGTCTAAATTGTTTGTTCTATCTTCCTCAATATTTTGGGTATCAAAAAATAATGTTTACTATTTTAAAAATAATTTTGAAAATTCGAGTACCAAAAAAAAAGTTGGCCTCATATTTTATTTCCTAAACCAATATGATAATTATGTGTTATTTAAACGAGAACAGGCTCATTCGATAGTTAAACTCTTCAACTTTGTAGCACCATTTTGTTTTTCATTCAAAAGTTTATGAAAATAGTGTAAAAGTTATTACAAAATAAATATAAAAAGTGTAATAGTATTGAAATGGGGCATGCCGTGGCACAGATGCGAGGCAGTCGTAGCACACAGAGTGACGCATCAGTCGACACGATACTTAACCTTACCGAAGTATAAGGATAGTAAAAAAAAAAATGGGTTGACGTCGCTCATGCACTTTTTTAATTAGTTTTTAAGTTACCCGATAAGATAGGTAGATACAATATAGTGCTTAAATTAGTTTTTTACGGCTCAAATAGTGTAACGTTAGATATAAGCATTAAAAAATGGTAAGAAATAATGTCAAAAAAACTAAAAAGCTTAGCTATACCGATGGCCAAAAATTAAATAATTTATACTAAGTTATCTGATTTAATTTGAGTAAAACTACTTACAAGTACTAGTGCATATTTAGTTTCGCTCCAACCGTGCTACGCCTGCCCCCTGGGTACTACAACATGCCTCATAGTGAGGCATGCGTGGCACTTTTCAATCGATTACTTCACGAACTTTTTTGATCAGTATTTTAATGCACCATAACATTTTTATTCATTAATCTATTTTCTTTATAGAATTATCTACCTATTGTAATTTTTTTGGAACTATAACCCGTGGCATTTAATTATAATAATTAGTTAAAGTGACAGTGCCACGGCATG